GCCGCTTGTCTGGTTTTGTGAAAGTGTGGTCATGTTTCGCTCGGTTGTGTTGAGTTGGCAGCACCGCAGAATGGGGGTTGACGGCGCAGGCTGGGGGGCGACACCTCACACATGCGACCTGGGCTGACAATATCCTCCTGTGTGCCAGGGGCCAGGCTGAGTTGGCCACCATGATTGCTGAAATCAGTGTACCTCTCTATCAGCGAAACTATCGTTGGAAACCGAGCAGCTTACAAAACATTCGATTTGGTTACGTTGATCCCGTATCCGATCCACTGGAAGTTCCGATTGAATATCGATTCCGGAGGGAGCCACGTGACCAGAGGACGCCGAGAGATCAGTTGGTTTTTTGACAAAACACGACGGGTCGTGATCACTTTGCAGGTGACGGATAGGTTGGAAATCCTGGGAACTATTCTTGGAAATACTATGCACCAGCATGAAGATCTAGCTCGCCGCCTCTCTCTTGCACAGCGGGCATTCTGGCAGGGAAAGAAGTACTATATGTGTCAGGGCATCAAGTTGAAGAAACGATTGCAACGTTATGGTTCACGGGTGAGGAGCAGACTTCTCTTTGCTGTGGAAGGGATGACGGCTGGCAAAAATGCCCTGGAGGCCATCTATGCTTCCGAGGGGCGATTGTTATCCAAGATGGTTTGGAGAAGGAAGCGTGACACAGAGCTGGCCGCAGTTTTTTCAGAGTATGTACCTCGTGGCGCGAGGGGCGCTCAAGGCAGCCCTGATGCCGAATGCCGTCCAGCTTTTCTTATTCCAACAATGGTGTTGGACAAAGGATGTGGCGATAACGACGGGACAGTATCGTACGGTGACACATTGACGGAGGCACGGCTCACTATCGACCCTCTTGAAGATACGGAGGACGGTACGGTGGAGAGGAGGAGAAAGCTGTTCACAATTGTTGAGTCCGCTCGCGCCGTGAGGGGTGACCTCATGGGTGAGCGGCAGGAGTCGCTGCCCGTGCCAGCCCAGCCACCTGCCCCTGCCGCCAATCGTCGGAAACTCATTGTGCAAACGTCGAGAGCTGCTGCGACAAAGAAGGGCAGGATGGCCCCAGGGCCTGACCCGACACCGACGACGACGCCAGAGCATACGCCTGAGCCCAAGAGTAGGTGGTATCACCGAGATCTGGTCGGAGTGAGTGCAGACGACCCGGTCCTCCAAGCTCGTTTCACTATGATGCAGGCTGCCAGCCCGTGGACACAACAGATGGATGATATCATTCGATGTGTGGGCTCCCAGCAAGCTCAGTTGCATACCCGTCGTAGAGAAGGTGCAAGAACTGTGGGTATCCGTCCCTGGGGATTGCCCTTCGAAGCGGTGGGAGGGGAAGCTGGTATGATACGCTATCCTGGACACAGGCGGGGTGGAGGAGTTTCGCACGTTCTGCTTGCGGAGTGGAAGCTGCAACATATACTTGAGTATGTAATACTTACTGAACCCCAGCCCTGGAGATCGAAGGACCAACAGGAGGAGGAGGAGAAGCCTCAGGAGAAAAACTATAATTTTGCCAAACGTCTCGCTTTCAACTTTGAGAATGCCAGCACGTGGAACTACGAGGCCAAGGGGATCCCTATTGAGCTCCATGGGGACTCCCAGGTGGTGGTAAATTGGCTTGTGGGAAGGTATGCGTGTACTACTGCTGTGTATTGTGACGCGATAACGCACATACAAAACATTCTCCATCGATTGTGTTGCACATGCGATATTGAGCTTAGACCGCCGTCGTGGGGCTTAGAACCATGGAAGTGGTTTTACCTTGAAGGAAATGAGCGTGCCGATGCAGAAACATGGAAGGCCCGAGCGGGCCAGTCGCACTACACTCTCGACCCGCGTATTCGCACTATCAGACGGGAACAGATTAAAGGGATTCGTGGCTACTTCGATGGTGGCCGCTCCTCCCACGGTGTTGATATAGGCTGGGTCATTGACATATTTGTGCTCCCTCGCCCTGCTCTCGATCTATGCCATGGCGTTTGGCTGTGCAACATAGCCGCCGAGGCTGCCGCCATCCCGGCCTCCTGCACTGTCTGTCAAGCTGAGCTTTTGGCCAGCAAGCGCCTCGCTGAAGGTGTTGAGCACCTGCTCCTCTGCTGCGGACCTGAATCCTCAGCGGGGACTCCTCTGTTCCCTGTGGGCTCCGAGCCAAGCAAAAACCAAGGTTGACGGTTTATCGCCGGCTCCCAGGTATCCTGATGTTCGCCCTGCTCGTGATGCTCACTCTGCCGATCCTCACTCTGCTTATCCACCCCTCCCTGCTCAACGCTCGTCCGATCCTCACCCTTTATCGTCGCTCTCCAGACTCTCTCTTTCCACGTCCTCACCTTCCTGCTCCACGCTTGCCTGATCCTCGCCGTCGTGGCTCTTGCTCTCCTGATCCCCTCCCCCTCGCGAGCCCCGCCCTCCTGATCCTCGCCCTCTTTCCTCTGGATCATTTTCTTGTCGCTCAGGAGCGCATGCCCATTTTTCTGTATATGCAAAAACTTCCGATCAACCGCGGAGCGGCCGGCTAGCAAGGCCAGATGAGTTCAAGCGGTGTCAGCAGACCGTCGGGAGTATCTGTTGACGCGTAACGGAGCAGAGTGTTGATTTCAACGTGAAGGTCCGAAATGACGGGCCAAGCGCCTTAACGCTCGTCAAGTCGGCCAGAATGTTTCGAGATCTGCAGAGGAAGAATCCGAAGTTCGCCACCAAGTGGAGCTGCATCGACCAGGAGACCATCGGTCGGTTGTGTCTGTCGGACAGCCCCCTTGGCAATCTCACGCTCGACGGAAATTGTCAGACGGTTGGCCATGGGGTCAAGGGATCGGGGCGCAGGCTGTCGTGCCGATCTTGCGGCTCGAGCGGGCCGCGAACGCTTGCGGACATTTTCTTGCTGCTCGGCAAGGGTCGTAAGCATGGGCGGGTAGCTCGGAGTTCCCGCGCAGCCGGGGCAGTTTGCAGCTGGTGATGGAGGTGGCGTAGCGCAGCGTATCCGAGACCAGATCGGCCAGATGTAATGCGGTCGTGTACATGTTGACTGTGGCCAAAAAGTATGGCTGGCAGGTGTCGTGGGTTCTGGTAGCAGACTCCCGAAATGGGCGCGACAGGCTCACTTGTAATGTTGGAGGCGGCAGTGTTACCCAGAAGCTAAGAAGAACTCCACCGTCGAGTTGCCGGGCAAGTAGGAGTCCTCGGGCGCCAATGCGATGGACTGGCGGCGCCGACATCATCTCCGAATACGGTGCAACAAAAGCACGCCTTCAGACCACCACCGAGAAGTCCCGAACAAAAACGCAGATGAAATGTTGAATTCATTCAACGAGGACTGGCGCGGGCACCCAGTCTGGTGGCCAGAGTGCGATGGGGGAAGAAGATGGAGGAGCTCTTCGAGGAGGGCATGTCATTGCCACGTTTTGTCCTAGGTCCTAGGTGAACCTTGTCAGGGCCCAGCGTGTCTAGTATGGCTGTGGCGGAAACCCGCTTCAATGCTTACAGCGGTGCTGGTATTTGTGGCCTGAGAAGAGCTGCTTTGGGGGCTTTGCGGGTGGTGGAGCCGCCGCGGCTCTGGCGCGGTCAGTGTCGTTTTTTTGCTTGCAACGAACCTCCCGACATGCCGCTGCCGCTTGCCGCTGCGGCGGTCGACGGCGTCAGAATGCTCTTGTCGTATGGAATGCGAGACATCAGCTCGTTTTACAGTCGGTGCTCGCGTAAGCTAGTGCCAACCGCTTCTGTGACATGGTAGAGGTTTGCATCAGCCGGGACTTTTCATGGTAGCAAGTTTTTCGGACCTGAATTGTGCGTGGTTAGTGAGCTCGTCAATTTTAACAGAAGGGCTTTTCCACGTTTTTGGTGTGCGCCGAAGCCGACGGGCCTCGGATTTCGATTTGCAGGACTGTGGTATCCGTTTGGAGTCCGGGTGCGACCCCTCTTTGACCGTGTCTAGGCACATCCCACGTGCTTTCCTGCTCGGCGCTGCCATTTCAGCCGGCTTGAATCTGTATTCGTTGCCAGATTTCCCACCTGCAGTGGCTTTTGCCGAGCCGCAGGAAACTCTCTGTGCCCTGCAGTGGCTGCCGCCCTAAGCCGCCGCTGCGCGGGCCAGGGGGCGTGCGAACGTGGTCCAGATTCGAAGTGCTTTGTGCCGCCTGGGTTTGGCGTACGGATGGCGTCAAGTAGGCCGCCCAATATCTCGTATGATATAGCTTGTAAGTTTGAGCCGCATATCATGCTCCACCCACCGACCTCAACATGCGCAGTACCCCCAACGTTGCATTTTCCATTGTGCATCGCATACATGTTGACGCGTGGGTCAAATCGCGTAAGGTGCATGATTTATACAGCAATGCGTAGCTCGCACCATAGAGGTACTGAGCCATAAACATTCACATGCAGAGCGCAATGACTGGCTGTTTAGGGTCCGCAGTGACTATCGTAGATGTACTGATGTGCTTGCATAAACACAGACTGGGATGTATATGTATCTCCGTGCATCCTCCCACAGGTCTATCGTTTACTCTCGTGATCTCTATTTCTCTCTGTCCCTCTTTCTGCTCTCGCTTCTCCACAACATCTGAATTCACCAGTTTCTCTTCGATGCTATATCATGTCCCGCGTTCGGTACGACGTGGCCTTTCCGTGGACCCTCGCACGCGTGTGCGGGCATTTTATGAGCGTTCGCCAAAAGCAGCTCGTATCTGCGTAATTTGAGGGTGCGGCGTGTGGCGGAAATGGTGGAGGCAGGGGAGGAAGGGGGACATGAGGACGGGGGGGAAAAAGGGTAGTGGACGAACAAAACCTGTTTGAGGGTTGGCCGCTTGGCCACCACCTACAAGGGAATTTCGGGCATGCTGCTTTTGTCGTGGCCATACGTGATCATGTGCTTTGTTTCAGGCTTTGTCCATGCGTATCTTGTGTACCGTATGAGTCGTTTCAACCGATGCGTTTTGATCATTTCCAGCTTTTGTGCCACAGCAAAGCCGCGAACCAAAGAGCCGACGGTGATGGCGCCTGCAATCCGCAACCAGGAACCGCTTTGCAGCCGTTACGCTTCTGATTGCCGTTTCGCCGTCCCCTGCCGCCCACTTTTCAGGAGCCACTTCGAGGAATCCCTGCGTTCCTTGCTCCCACCTCCGTCCCCATCCACGTGTATGCTCTCGTTGTTGTCCCTCGTCTTATGTTGCTCCCATCGTACTTAAGGACCACATCGCAGAAATAATTTCGAGCACCCAAGAAAGTATCGAAACGGTGTCGAACGAGTATCGCCTCCAGGGTCCGACACGTGAAACACTCTCCAGTTTCGGTACTTTTCTGGTGCTCGAAATTCCTCCCTGGTGATCAAGGCTGAAGTCGGTTGGGATATCACAACCCTCGTCCCCTCCCCCCCTCTTCTCCTCCTCCTCCTCCTCCTCCTCCTCCTCCTCCTCCTCCCCCTCCTCCCCCGCCTCCTCCTCCTCCTCCTCCTCGTCCTCCTCGTCTTCCTCCTCTTCCTCTTTCTCCTCCTCCTCCTCCTCCTCCTCCTCCTCCTCCATCTGTCTTCAGCTGGAAGAAAACCGGTTCAACAGACGACCCGTTCAACAGGGACCGGTTCAACAGACGACCGGTTCAACAGACACCGGTTCAACAGACGACCAGTTCAGCAAGGACCGGTTCAACAAAGACCGGTTCAACAGGACCGGTTCCGCAGAACCGGTTCCACAAGCCCGGTTCCACAGGACTGGTTCCACAGGACTGGTTCCACAGGACGGGTTCCACAGGCGATTCCCTCCTGCTACTCTCTCTCATTACACTGCTGCTGCTGTTGCTGCTGCTGCTCCTCCTCCTCTTCTTCCTCCTCCTCCTCCTCATCCATCCCTCTCTGCCCTCCCGCCCTCCCCCATCCCTCGTTGCCGCTACGTCCCCACGCCCCACATCCCTCATCCCTCTCTACTTCCTCCTCCCCTCTCCTCCCTCATCCATCATCGAGGGCCATCCACCCGACCCGTCCTGCCCGACCCGACCCGACCCGTCCCGCCCGTTAGGGTCCGCCCGCCCGACCCGTCCCGCCCGTTAGGGTACTCGCGTGCCAACTCGATGGCGCATCATACTTTAATGTCCTGCCCGCCCGACCCAACCCGTCCCGCCCGTTAGGGTCCGCCCGCCCGACCCGACCCGTCCCGTCCGTCAGGGTCCGCCCGCTCGCCGGACCCGTCCCGCCCGTTAGGGTACTCGCGTGCCAGTTCGATGGCGCACCATACTTGAATGACCGCCCGACCCGACCCGACCCGCCCCGTTAGGGTCCGCCCGCCGGGCCCGTCCCGCCCGTTAGGGTACTCGCGTGCCAACTCGATGATGCACCATTATTTTATGTCCCGCCCGCTCGACCCGACCCGTCCCACCCGTGAGGGTCCGCCCGCCCGACCCGACCCGTCCCGCCCCCGCCCGCCGGACCCGTCCCGCCCGTTAGGGTACTCGGTGCCAACTCGATGATGCATCATACTTTAATGTCCCGCCCGCCCGACCCGACCCGACCCGCCCGTTAGGGTCCGCCCGCCCGACCCGACCCGTCCCGCCCGTTAGGGTCCGCCCGCCCGACCCGTCCCGCCCGTCAGGGTCCGCCCGCCCGCCGGACCCGTCCCGCCCGTTAGGGTACTCTCGTGCCAATTTGATGGCGGACCTATTTTAATGTCCGACCCGACCGACCCGTGAGGGTCCGCCCGCCCGACCCGACCCGTCCCGCCCGCCCGCCGGACCCGTCCCGCCCGTTAGGTACTCGCGTGCCAACTCGATGATGCATCATACTTTAATGTCCCGCCCGCCCGACCCGACCCGTCCCGCCCGTTAGGGTCCGCCCGCCCGACCCGTCCCGCCCGTCAGGGTACTCGCGTGCCAGTTCGATGGCGCACCCATGTCCGCCCGACCCGACCCGACCCGCCCTTTAATGTACTCGCGTGCCAACTCGATGATGACATTATTTTATGTCCCGACCTCGACCCGACCCGTCCCGTTAGGGTCCGCCCGCCGGACCCGTCCCGCCCGTTAGGGTACTCGCGTGCCAACTCGATGATGCATCATACTTTAATGTCCCGCCCGCCCGACCCGACCCGACCCGCCCGTTAGGGTCCGCCCGCCCGACCCGACCCGTCCCGCCCGCGGGTCCGCCCGCCGACCCGTCCCGCCCGTAGGGTACTCGCGTGCCAACTCGATGGTGCATCATTCTTTAATGTCCCGCACGCCCGACCCGACCCGTCCCGCCCGTTAGGGTCCGCCCGACCCGACCCGACCCGTCCCGCCCGTTAGGGGCCCGCTCCGTCCCGCTCGCGTGCCCTCGAGCGCATCATTCCTTTATGTTCGCGTCCCGCTCGACCGTGTTAGGGTCCGGGCCGCCGGATCTCGTCAGGGCTCGCGTGCCAGATCGATGGCGCATCATACTTTCCATGTCCTGCCCGCCCCCCGACCCGACCCGCCCGTTAGGGTCCGCCCCGCCCAACCCGACCCATCCCCGCCCGTTCGGGTCCGACGGCCCGCCGGACCCGTCCCGCCCGTTAGGGTACTCGCGTGCCAACTCGATGGCATCATACTTTAATGTCCCGCCCGCCCGACCCGACCCGACCTTTCCCGTTAGGGTCCGCCCGCCCGACCCGACCCGTCCCGCCCGTTAGGGTCCGCCCGCCCGACCGTCTCGCCCGTTACGGTTCTCGCGTGCCAACTCGATGGTGCATCATTCTTTAATGGCCCGCCCGACCCGACCCGTCCCGCCCGTTAGGGTCCGCCCGACCCGACCCGACCCGTCCCGCCCGTTAGTGTCCGCCCGCTCGCTGGACCCGTCCCGCCCGTTAGGGTACTCGCGTGCCAATTCGATGATGCATTCTGTTTGAATGTCCCGCCCGCCCGACCCGAGCCCGACCCGGTTCCGGGGAAGCGGTTCCGGGGAAACGGTGCTCCGGGGAAACGGTCCAGGGGAACTGCCTGCGGGGAAACGGTTCTGGGGAACCGGCTCCGGGGAAACGGTTCGGGGGAAACGGTTCCGGGCAAGCGTTCCCGGGGAAACGGAACCGGGGAAACAGTCCCGGGGAAACGCTCCTCCGGAGAAGCGGTCCCCGGGGAAGAGGTCTCCGGGGAAACGGTCCTCCGGGGAAACGGTCCTCCGGGGAAACGGTCCCGGGGAAGCGGTTCCGGGGAAACGGTTTCCGGTAAAACGGTTTCGTATCCTTCAGCTCGCCCTCTCCGAACGCTCGCCCTTCGCTCCCGCTCCTGGCAGTTCGCCCTGCCCCAGCGTTGAGTGCCCCCCCCCCTTTGTCCGCTCCCACTTCCCACGGCCTTCGCCTTGCTCGTTCCCCTCCGTTCTCGTCCTTTTTTGCTTTATTCCTTCGCCCCCCCTCCTCCCCCTCCTCCTCCTCTCCTCCTCCTCCTCCTCCTCCTCCTCCATTTCCTCCTCCTCCTCCTCCTCCTCCTCCTCCTCCTCCCTCCTCCTCCTCCTCCTCCTCCTCCTCCTCGGTCTCCTCCTCCTCCTCCTTTTCCTTCTCAGATTTTGCGCCGTTTCCTGCTTCCAAGGGCTCTCGCTGGGCTCCGGGACCGTCATGCCACGGCTCGGGACGCAAGGTTGGCCCGGGGGGCAAGGGTCAGGACTTCCAGTGCACCCCAACAGTTATTCTAGGCCCTCCTGCTGCTTTCCTCATCCTCCTCCTCTTTTTCTTCCTCCTCCTCCTTTTCTTCCTCCTCCTTCCTCCTCCTCTGGGTCCCAAGGATTGGTTGCCTCAATCTGACGTTTTTCCCGTGTGTTTGGCGGTTTTGGGGTAGTTTTTTTGGCCCTGGGGCTACCATGATGGGCGCGGGATGCAACGATGCTCAGGGAAGCGCTCGTGGATTTTAGCCCGCGTCGACGGGCCGGGTCCTCGAGAGAACACTGCAGTCCAATAGCACCTGGCATTCGCAGTTGTGTGAGCCTCGGGGCATCCCAGTGACAGATCGAGGCACGGTGGCGGATCTCGCTTCTCGCCATGCGAACCTAGCTATATCGACCATGTCACCCTGCCGCCACTCTTCCCAGTAACGCTATGCCCCTCCTCCCTCCTCTCTCTTCCCTCCTCCTCTTCCTCCTCCTCCTCCTCCTCCTCCTCCACCTCCTCCTCCTCCTCCTCCTCCTCCTCTGTCTTCTCCTCCTCCTCCTCCTCCTTCCCCCTTCCTTCTCTTCGTTTCCCCTTCCCCCCCGTTCCCCCTCTGTCGCCTCATCCCTTTCCTCTCTCGTCCTGTTCCGCTTGCCCTCTTTCACTTCCTTGTCCCTCGCACTCCTTACCTCCTCGTTCCTCCCAATCCTCGCCTCTCGCGCTTCTCCCCTTCCTCTGTCTCTGCTACCTCTCCCTCCTGGCCTCCCTCCCCCTCCTTGCCCCGGCCCTCTCGCCCTCCTCCCAGCCTTCCCACTCTGCCCTCCTCCCCGTTTCTCCCGCTTCTGTAGGGCCAGGGAGCTCGACGAGGAGGTCTTTGCTCAGCGGTCTCGGTCTTACTGCTCTCCCTGCATCTCGTGGCTGTCCTATCTCCCGGGCCACAAGCATTTTACGGCTGGGTACACTTGTCGTGAGCAGGAGTTGGCACGGTTGCACAGTCAGGCGTGCTTGTGCATGTAGCCCGTCAAAGACGGGCACCCAGGCTGCACGCGGACGTGTGCGCAGATGGGACGCGTAAAGCTGGTGCGCAGCGTTTTCACCGGAGGGCTTCTGGAGCCAAATGCCCGTAGACCCGTGTTAGCAGTTGCTCTTTACCTCCGGCCACCCGGACAGGACAGGGTAGTTTTTCTGGGTTTCATGTTCCGCGCTCCCCTCCTCCCCCCTCGTCGTCCCCTCTCATCCATTCCTTCCTCGCAGTCGTCGTTGTCGTCGTGTTTTTCGTCGTCGTCGTCGTTGTCGTCGTCGTCTTCGTCGCGTTCGTCGTCGTCGTCGTCGTCGTCGTCGTCGTCGTCGTCGTCCTCGTCGTCGTCGTCTTCGTCTTCGTCCGTCGTCCGTCGTCCGTCCTCCGTCGTACGTCGTCGTCGTCATCGTCGTCGTCGTCGTCGCTGGTCGGGGGCCTGCGGACCCAACACAAGGGCAGAGCCCTAACCCAGCCCCCCTCGCGTTGTGAAAGTATCACGACGGGAGTTTTTGGTTGTTGTTGCTGCTGTTGCGAAGGCCTTACGGCCAGTGCCGCCGACCCTGAATGGCGACGACGACGACGACGACGACGACGACGACGAGCGCTCTTGGGGGCCTCTTGGGGGTAGTTTGTGGGCCTCTTGGGAAGCTCTTAGGGGCCGCTTGGAAGCCTCGTGGGGGCCTCTTGGGGCTTCCTGGGGGTCTCTTGGAGGGGGCCTGGGACGTCTTGGAGGCTTCTTGGACGGTCTTGGGGCTATCTTGGGCGTTTTCGGCCGATCTTTGGGCGACTCGGGGCCCTCTTGGGCCGTCTCGGGGGCCATCTTGGGCATTCGGACCTCATTTGGAGTGTTTTCGAGGTTTCTAGGCCGCCCGAGGAAAAACGAATCTGCCCCCCCACCCCCCCCGGGACCCCCCCGGGACCCTCCCCGGGACCCCCCCGGGACCCCCCCCGGGACCCCCCCCCCCCTGGGGAAGGGATCAAAGGGAAGGGGCTTCCCTTCGACTCGATTACGACACTGCTAGATTTTTCTCTCGCTCACGAGCTTGAGAAGGAAGCTGCAGGGAAAGGGGACGACGGAGGCGACGACCGACGGAGACGACGACTCGAACAGCCAAGCCCTTCGCACACGCCGACAGGGTCGGCGGATTTTCCGTCCGTCGTCGTCATCGTCGTCGTCGTCGTCGTCGCTGGTCGGGGGCCTGCGGACCCAACACAAGGGCAGAGCCCTAATTAACCCAGCCCCCCTCTCGTTGTGAAAATATCACGACGGGAGTTTTTGGTTGTTGTTGCTGCTATTTTCGGCCTTTGGGGGGCATTGCTGGGCCTCGGGACCGTCAACAAAACGACTTGGGACGAGAAGCCGGCCCCGAGGAAGAGGTCCAGACCTCTGGGGGACGACGCTGTGAACAAACTCAAGCCGTCGGGGGTCTGGGTCAGAAGGCGGCGGGGCTTCTCAGAAGCCCTCGCGCCTTCTGAATAGCTTTCTAAGCCTCCTCCTCCTCCTCCTCCTCGTCCTCCTCCTCCTCTCTCCTCTCCCTCCTCCTCCTCCTCTTCCCTCCTCCTCCTCCTCCTCGTCCTCCTCCTCCCTCCCTCCCTCCCTCCCTCCCTCCCTCCCGCCCTCCCTCCCTCCGCCACCCCGACAGCGCCGCGGCTCCGGCGGCCTGCTGGTGCTCGCCCTGGCGTCGTGCCTGGTGTTCCAGGCGGCGGGGCGGGTTTTCTGTGCCCCGCCGTGCCCCCCTCGGCTTAAGTCGGGCCTGTCCCCTGTACAGGAGGAATATAAAAAAGTGGCAGACAAATATTCTGGGGGCGATTTGTTGACCATGTTTGAATATTTCAGGGTATTTTTGTTTGGCAGTTTTTGTATTTTTCGTCCAACATCGGCCTGCAGGGGGACAGGCCCACTTAACCCTCGGTGAGAAGGGTCAGGCGATCGCAAGCATGGCATCGAGGGGGCGTGGACTGGCGACGGGTCCCGTTCCAGTGGAAAATCGCGTTTTTTCTGCCGCCGAGCGAGGCGGCCCTGGCCGCATTCTGGGGAGGGCACCTCCCCCAATGCATGGATTCGGGGGCCGCGCACCGAATCCATGGATCGCCAATCCATGTCGGCGCGCCCCCGAAAAGGAGGGGGGGACGATTGGCCACGCACAGAGGGGGAGGAAGGGAAGGGCGGATGGGGGAAGGCCTCTCAGCTCAAATTTTTTATCGTGCTTCTCGATTTCTCACTCTCCCTCTCTCTCTCTCTTTCTCTCTCCCTCCCCCCCTTTCAGGTATGGCCAGGACCCCGGGTAAGGGGACCCAGTTAGTGGTAGGGCCCCGGAGCCTTAATTGGCCAGAATCACTAAACCAGGTTTGCCATAGCTTGTGTTTTTTCGGGTGACGGCAGTTCCGGTTAGTGGAAATGGGACGGGGGGGCGCCCCCGGTACAGATCATTAAACCAGGTTCCACTAAACCTAGTTCTACCAACGCCCGACCCTTGTTCTCCCTCCAGCTTTTGTGCGTGCTCTTGCTGTTCTG